TTTTGAGGACCTCCATATTAAGTTCCATAATGGATGCATCAATTTTCTTTTACACTAGATCAGAAGGGTTTTCATTTTTCACATCTTTGCCAGCATTTATTTGTTTTCTTGAATAATTATTGTTATTGAGCATGAGTCCTTGAGACTTTCTAGATAGACAAATCTCATTTGGGAGTTAGCCACCATATCTCCTTGGTCTCTCCTTATCGTCCGTGGTGTAGGAGAAGGACACAGTGGAAAAGATGATGATATCTGCGTGATATCCTTTCTTTTGCTAACATCAATTTGATAGCTCTGGCAATTTTGCCCAAGTATGTGAGATGCTATCATTAGGAAAACCTGGGTGAGAACGCAGGAATTCTTTTAGCTGATTTTATTCTTCTCTGAAATGTTATGAAATATTTTGGTGAGTAAACAAAGTTATAAAGGTACAACAAAGCATGAGAGAGATCACAGGGTGCTGCATGTGCTGTGCTGTTATATGTACAATGATTCAGCATGTTCTTTGATCTGATAACAAAAGGCTGAGAAAATTTCCATAGCATATGTCTGAATGAAATCTGAAATAAATTTCCATGAATAGAAGTTATAATTAAAATTGTGACTGATGAATTCATAAAGGTGAAGCGAGCTATTTTTAAGTTTTATTAGCTTATAATGGCAAACAACAAACTATTTTTGCTTAAAAATTAATACAAATGTTTTTTCTTGCAGTGAGGTAGATATTAAGGTAGATTCAGTGTGAAATTCTGGTGTGGAGTTGCAATAATTCAGATAGAAATTTAGATAATTTAGAAAGCTATCCAATGAACTGCAATGAGAAAGCCCTTTCAGGTGCTCATTTGTTTCAGAAAGTGAGGAAATGGCAGATGAACACAGCCTGTTAGAACTTATGGAGTTTACCTTATCTTTAAAAGGACTGAGTTGGAGAATTTCATAATTTCCCATCTACATTTATAGTAAAACCACAAAAATCCTCAAAAAAAAAAAAAAAGAAGAAAGGAAGTCAGATTTCCCCCATTATGTGAAAATAACCTTGAGGCTACATATCCTTGGGTCCTTTTTTTCTTTCTTCGGACAGAGTCTCACTGTAGTCCAGGTTGTCCTCACATCTGCAGTCTTCTTTCCTTGGTGTTAGGATAGCTAACATTTACATCAACCTTCATCACTGGAATGTTGGGATTCAATGAATTCATAAATCACTTTTAGTAGTATAGACATTTCCACCTTGTTCATTCTGCCACTAGTGTGTTCTTTAATTTCTGTCTTGTTTATTAAAATTTTCATTGTATATGTCTTCCACCTTTTTGGTTAAGTTAATTTATAGATTTTTCTGAGACTCTAGTGGATGGGACTCATAGTGATATATGAAAGACTTAATTTGATTTGTTAGAGCCTTGTTTTCTAGGCCCAAGTAGAATTCTTGAGCTGTCAGCGTGGAGTATGGAGAGATGATGGGAATTCTAGGTGTCAGGATGGTACTTCCTTCTTCTCAAATGTGAAGCTAGAGCAGGGGCCCTTTTCTGTTATAAATATGCTTATCTTTGACAGTAGTTTTTAATCCCATTTGCATGCTATTATACAGGTTAAACAAGAATCTGTGTTAATAATTTAAGTGTCTGTTTCCTCCAACAGTTGGAATTCAATATAGAAAATAATAGGATGGCAGGTACTGATTGAAAGAGTTCTAACAAGCAAAGAGGCCTTAGTGTATCCTCTGCTTGAACATCTATTTTCACGTTGGCTTTTTGTACCAATTACTGTTTATCCTTATTATGGAGAGGGATGCAGAAAAGTTTCTGTAAATTCATGACCTACTTTGGAGACAATGAATACAGAACTGATTAGCATTTAGGAATCACATATAGTAACAATGAAATAGGAATCAAGTTGGAAAGATATTGCATTTATGTCCCGGAAGTAAGAGCCTGCAGGTACTGGATGGTTAGGGGTTTTGAGAAAGGAAGAAAGGTGGTGAAAGTGGCCTTTGCCATTCTTGCCCATGATGAACACTATAGAAAAGCACAAATTAAGAGACAGGGCAATTCTAACTATGTAATTTAATTAGGTTGTGTAGACTTGGGTTCTGGTTAATTTTGGTGTGTGATGTTTTTGCTTATTTGCAAGGTTTTTTATATAATGTTTACTTTTTAAAAGAGAGTCTTTTAGTAATCTAGGATGAGCTAAGGGAGGAAAACAGAGGAGAGGGGGGAGGTTGGGATGGAGAGAAGTGATGTATAGAAGAATCTGGGCAAAAAGGTACACGGATTTTGTGATTTCTTGAATGAGAGAGTAAAGAAAGAGGAATATTCCAGAATATTGAGTTCTCAAGCTTGGGTATTAGAAAATAAATAATATATTTACAAAGCTAGTTCATCAAAGAGAGCCTTTTATTTCCTGATTTTTCAACCATTTACACTCTTAGGCACTTTTCTGCTTCTTGAGTTCTTTTATAGTTCCTGTCCACTGACACTGAGAACATGCGCTAATTAGATAAGGGAGCAGAGGTGGGGACAATGGGGTGGAAATCAGAGCTGGGCAGACTTGCGGGCCATCTGGCTGATTTCTTTCCACCTTCCTTGTCGCCACGGCTATTCAATACATCTGGCTATCTGGACTTCAACCAACTCCCACTTGGGACCCAAATGCAGGATATCAAAATGAAGTAGTTCTTGTTCTTTTGACCTTGAAAGTGAAAATTCTGATCCGTTTTATCAGTGCCACTTGCTTTGAATGTACGCAGCAGGCCTTTACCAAGGCCTCGCAAGAGTTTTGTCTATAGATGGGCATTTAGGGCACTCACTATTCTCCCTATTTTTTCTTCAGTATTAATTTTCTTCATGCCCTGCATAGATAAAGTCACGTGGACATAGCAATTGTGGCCTTGGCATAGAATGAATGCTCAAAGAGAAACAACATGCCATTAAAAGTGCCCTGCTCCTAGAGAATGCTCTGTTGTCTAGTGGGAGTCATCCTGACAGGGTCTCAGATGACAGGTTGCTCCACCGATTATGTTAATGTTTGGAGCAGTGTCTCAGCACTGCTGTATATAAATATCACATCCATACACATTACAGGGTTTTACCCCAGAAAGATATGGTTATCTTTGACAGCCTGAGAATATGTATCTTTGTGTGTTCCCAGATGACGCTAGTGTTGTTAGTTCAGGGCCAACTATTGGGAAGCAGTAGTTTATGAAGGGTTGAGGGAACGAAGCTCATGTTTATGATGGAGTCTGTTGCTCTGCAGTTAGGAATTCTGCTCCCTCTGGCTGTACATTCTGAACCCCAGTCAGCTGTGCTCTTTGTTTTCTGAAGTAGCAGAAACCAGTCAACAGGTGACAAGTTATATTACTTCACTTTCTTTGAATTTTCCCAGGGAGAGCTAAGTTTACCACTGTTAGTGCTGGCACTTTTCTGTTATTTCAAGGATTTGTTGGTTTTTCCAAGGTGGTTTTCCCTTGGTGCCAGGGATGTGAATAGGAACATTATGATGGTGTTCGGTATGTCTTGGTATTTGAATAGTGTAGAATTTATACTTTTAATTCTAATGTTTTATCTCTGCTCTTCTTTCTTATGTCTTTTCTAGTTCTTGATTAATTGCAGTCACAAATGGCCTCACTTATGAACATACTTGTAAATAAATATAGCAATGTGGTTTTGGGCACCTCAGAAATGAAAGTTCAAACCACTTGGAACTCTAGCTGACATTCCTTTAAGTCTTTATGAACTAAATATTCTTTTCTGTGATGCCAAAAAAAGGTTCTGTGTGATCATCTAAAGTTTGAAATTCTTTCTCAAATCAAAGACACTGCCAAACTCAGAAACAACTGTGTGAAGGAAATGTGTGGAAACACCACTCATTACAGGTTGGTTTATAAAAAGAGCTGCAGATTGATAGGTCTTTGAAAAATGTTTGGTGACACAAAACTCTTTCAATCAGTTCCAAATCCAGCAACCCTCTTGTTGCGTTAGATTTCCATCCCCTCACTTTCCTTTTCTTCCTAACAGAGACAGACACATCCCTTTTTGTGTCCTATTTTCGATGACTGATGGAAAAGTAAACACCCAATATGAGCATGTGGGCATGGTTTATTTCTTTTTGCATTGACTAGAAGGCAGTGTTGAAAAGGAGACGCTGCTGTCATTTCACAATGTAGGAAATTCAGAAAAGGTGTGAGAGCTGTTTGAAATAATTTCTATTTTTAGGCTATGCCATTCATGAGGGTATGTAGTCTTTCCTTTAGAGAAGGAATTTGTTTAAAGTCTATCTGAGATCTTTTGGTGACAAATAAACAATGTGTTCAAAAGAAAGCCTTGTAATTTTTTCATTAGATGATTCATGCTTAAAAATGTCAAATGATCGGGAATGAAAGGCCCAGTGATCAGGGCATTAGAAACATATGGTTCTGGGGATCATGAAGCTTGCCAACTCTAAATATGGAATCTCAGTCCCTTTCTTTGTCCTTATAAAGATGACAGAGTCTTTTACGCCTAGTATTTTTCCTTTTTTCCTTTTCAATTCACTGTTGTACATGTCTTTTCCATGTGAGGCAGTCCAGTACAGTGGATACGGGTGATGGAGACAGTTTGCTTTGGTTAAATTCTAACTCTATTACTTATTTACTGTTTGTCTTGAGAAAGCTGCTTAGCCTTTCTGTACTTCTATCTCCTGATGTGTAAAATGAAGATAGGCTTTTTACCTTGAAAGACAAAGGAAGATGATAATGCATACAAATCTCTGAGAACAATTCTGGGTACATAGTATTCTGTTAATGCTGGTTTTTGTTTATTTGTTTTGACTAAATTTCCTCGATTTGATTCATTGTTTTACTCTGGGCAAGAAGATTAAGGCAGCCTCATTATAAATTGTTATTTGAAATATCAGTTACTAATGATTCAGACTTTAAATGGCTTAATGTTATGAGTATAGATTGTTATTTTGTAAAAATTGAATATATGCTGCCCCTCACCTGGGCAGTGTGGGAGAGCTGGTGATGTGGGAGTGATTTCTTATTAATAAAGAAACTGCCTCGGCCCTCATAGGACAGAAAATTAGGTAGGCGGAGTAGACAGAGGAGAATGCTGGGAAAAAGAAGCTGAGTGGGAGAGTCGCCATGATGCTCCCACTCCAGACAGACGCAGGTTAAGATCCTCTCTGGTAAGCCAGCTTGTGGGCTACACAGAATATTAGAAATGGGTTAGAACAATATGTAAGAGCTAGCCAATAAGAAACTGGAACTAGCCGGGCCAGGCAGTGTTTGAAAGAATACAGTTTCCGTGTAATTATTTCGGGCATAAGCTAGCCATGCGGGCGGCCGGGGGCCGGGGACGCAGCCCCGCCGCTCCTAATTCAACAGATGGCGCCCAACATGGGGCTAAATCCACTTAAAAACCTGAGAGGGCTTAAAAAGGAGAGAGAGAGAATTTAAAACAGCTTTTTGCTGTTTCTGGGTTGCGTGCCACAAAGAAATTGTCCTGACTCGGCAGCAGGAAAAAACTGGCTGTTTTAAAATGCCGGCTTTCTGGGCTGTGCCGCCATTGTGATCTCTGTCTGGCTCCGGCGGGAGACAGAGCTTATGAATGGAGCATTTGGATTAAAGTGCTACAATTTGTTTGATGGCAACTAGACTGCTGTGTGCCTAAAAGGGGGACATTGTGTGCCGCAGCTCAGAGGCACAAGCAGCTCCGCCATGCTAATGGTGCAATGTGCAAGGATCAGAGGCACGAGCGGCTCCGCCATGTTGGACTGGGCGGGGCCAGCATACAGTACCTGTTTTTGACCTAGGAATGTCACAGCTTAGATTCTTAAGTGCTTAGTGATTTAAAGGCGCAAAACAAAGTGCTCCTGGATAGTAAAAAAGTTACAGATTCACAATAAAACAGATTCAGACACTGTTGGATAAATGTACGTAGGCTTGGGAAAGAGAAGAAAAAGAATATAAAGAATAAAGTTAATGTCTTAAAAAGAAAAAGGGTAAAGTCTTTAAAGAGACAGAGTACAGAAGTACAGATAGTTATAGATTAAGAGAAATAAAAAAAATAAGCCATGTAAAAATGGAAAATTCACAGAGAGTCTGGATTATGTACATTGTGTTTTCTTTAAAATTTTTGACTGTGAAGGAGCTAAGTACAGAGAGACATTTCATTATATGGGCTGCTAGGCTGAACCTGCACATATGTTCTAAAGGTATCTTGACTTCAGAATTTGGGTCTAAGGATATGATGCTTTGGAAAAGTCCTTCTTTTGTTTTCACAGAGGATGTGACCCTGTGGATTGCATCTATTCCAATTTGGTATGATAGACCACGCCCTCCTGAAAGGTTGCTGTGAACACCCTCAAAAAATTACTTCACTCAACTGCCAACCGAGATGACCCTGGCACACAGGTTATACCACAAAAGACCTAATTAACGACGCCCCTATTCAGCAGGAAGCAGTTTGGAAAGAAAAAACTACGCCCATGTTCCCAAATATTGTTTACAAATGTTCTTTTACATTTAAAGGGGGATATGATATAGATATGAATAATTTGCATTGGTATGGATTTTAAGGTCAATTTTGTTATATGTATATGTATTTTTGATCTTGATTAAGGTATTGTGATTGTGTAGTTCATTTTAAAAATGTAATGTATAATTAGGAAATATAAGTTGTTAATGGATAATCATTGCTAATAGTTAAGCTTGTAGTCATGTTAATTAGATTTTCTAGATATATAGAGATATCTTTCAGTTAGATAGACATTCTTCATATCTCTCAAAGACTGCAGAATATGGCATTTAAAATATTTTAATAACTTAGGACTTTTCATGACAAGGAGACACGTCTGCTCCTGGCAGCACCAGCTACTTCAAGAGGAAGATGGGCATCGAAGAGGATCCTTATGGAGTTGGATAGTCATTTGGGCAAGAAACTGCTCTTGCCTGGACTGTTGCATAAACTGGACACAGAACCCACAGAGAGAGGACTACTGGACTTGCCTAAAGGTGAGATGGTCTTTCGGGGTTCCTGATTCATGAAAGAGTCTACGAGACATTCTGCAGAACACAGCAGAAAATGACTGAACTGTCTTTAAAATTTCCTGCTTCATGGAAATGTCTCTGGATACCATGGGCCTGTAGGCTGAAGATGGATGCCCCAAAGGTACAGAGGAACTTTGGGTGACTGTCCAGGCAGCGAGATGTCTCTGTCATTTCTAGAGTTTTCTTATTTCTTGTTTACTTAGATAATATTATATCCTTCTGGAGTCTTTGATGGAGTTGAAGAATGAATAGTTATAGTTTTCCTTAGTTATGATAAGAGATAAAATAGATATAAATATTGTAACTGTAATTCTTACTTGATAACTGTTTTGTTATATGTAATTTTACTATGTTAAAGTTAAAGCCTTTCTTTTTTTGTTTAAAAGGAAAAAGGGGAACTGATGTGGGAGTGATTTCTTATTAATAAAGAAACTGCCTCGGCCCTCATAGGACAGAAAATTAGGTAGGCGGAGTAGACAGAGGAGAATGCTGGGAAAAAGAAGCTGAGTGGGAGAGTCGCCATGATGCTCCCACTCCAGACAGACGCAGGTTAAGATCCTCTCTGGTAAGCCAGCTTGTGGGCTACACAGAATATTAGAAATGGGTTAGAACAATATGTAAGAGCTAGCCAATAAGAAACTGGACCTAGCCGGGCCAGACAGTGTTTGAAAGAATACAGTTTCCGTGTAATTATTTCTGGGTATAAGCCATGCGGGCGGCCGGGGGCCGGGGACGCAGCCCTGCCACTCCTATTTCAACAAGCTGGCCCTGAAGGCATGAAGGCAGGTGATCTGGCCTGCACCTCAGTGGCTGCAGTACTCAGGAAAGCACCCTTGCACCTCACCTGAACAGTACAGTCGAGCTTGCCCTGGTGGTGTGGGCATGGGAGAACTGACCTGAGGGCAGGGGTGCAGGAGAGCAATCAACTCAGTTACCACAGAAGGCCAGATCTAAGCCTTTGAGTTGTCCTACTTCAACATCTATCCCAACAATGAGCTACTTGAGCTCATAAAGGGACCAGTCCTGCAACCCAAGCTGCAGAATCTCCATCGACACAGGGCAAAAACAGGACACCTGAGGAGTCCTGGTGAAGCTCGAATATTGTGTGGTGTAGCGGAAGCCAGAAACCTAGTAATCTTGATTTCCTCTTTGTTTCTCAAATTTACCAAGTCATTAAGCCAATAGCATCCATGACTGCAAGCCTGCAAGCATGTCTGACCTCGGGAACACAGACAGACAGACAGACACACACACACACACACACACACACACACACTCACACACCTTACTCTTAAAGTATCAACTGTTTGGGGGAAATTTTCTCTTCATGGCAGAAAAGAAGAAAGTCAGTGTATGTTATGATTTTCTTACCATCCAGAATTTTGGACGAGAGGGTGAGAATCATAAAGCAGAATGGAGCACCCCATCCACTGCCATCTTCATTGAATATCGGCCTGAAACCATAACTCCAGACCAGAGAAATAACTGACATGGTATTGTAGGGGGGTTGCTTGTTTGTTCCCCACTGCTCAGCCCCCAAAATAATCACACAAAATCACATTATTTGCAATACTGTTTGGCCAATAGCTTAAGTATATTTTTGGCTAACTCATATCTTAAATTAACCCATGTCCATTAATCTTTGTATCACCACAAGGCTGTGGCTTACCGGGTAAAGCTCTGGTGTCTGTCTCGGGAGGGGCTTCTCTCTGACTCTGCCTTCTTTCTCCCAGCATTCAGTTTAGTTTTCCTTGCCTACCTCTATTCTACCCCATCATGGGCTCAAGATAGTTTTGCTGCATGGGAGAGGGCCACTTGTTTGTTCTGGCTGTCCAGCTAGCTTAGCCCTGAAATAACCACACAGAAACTGTGTTCAATAAATCACTGCTTGGCCTATTTTCTCTAACATCGTATTGGCTAACTCTTATACCTTGATTTAGCCCATTTTCATTAATCTATGTATTGCCATGTATCAGTGGCTTACCAGGAAAGATTTGGCATGTCTTATTCTGGCGGCTCCATGGTGTCTCTCCCCTACTCTGCCTTTCTTCCTCCCAGCATTCAGTTCTGTCTTCTCTGCCTACCTAAGTTCTAGCCTATCAGGCCAAGACAGTTTCTTTATTCATTAACCAATACAAGCAACACATAGAAAGAAGGACCTCCTACACCACAGTTTCTTTATTAACTAATGGTATTCTCAGCATAGAGAATTCAGAGGAGAATTCCCAATGTGCTCAACCAGTTTCAAGACATCTAAGCAGGAGCCGGAGGAATGCCAAAGGGTGCAGGGGCCGTTTGCTCCTCTTCCATCAGCCAACAGCATCCTGAGCAGAAGGAGGAGAAATAATACTTTTCTATAAATTGTGAGGTTAAAGGATTGGTCTGCTTATTTTCCCACTAGTGAAAAGTCCTGTAAGGGAAATGTCATGTGATTAAAAGTAAATGAGCTGCAGAATATAAAGTTTGCCCCATTTCAGGAAGTGTAAGTTAAGATAGCATTCTGTGCTCAAATGTATATGTAAAGCTGTTCTCTGAGAGCAGAGACATGGTAATGTAAACCACACAACCCCAGTGTGGGCCGTGGACCTTAGACTAGGGTGGGCTACGATCTGTGTCCAGTGGGCCACAGTCAAGTGCCCAGGGTAGGTCATGGATCTTAGTCTAGGGTGGGCTATGATCTGGGTCTAGTGGGCCACAGACCAGTGCCCAGTGTGGGCCGTGAACCTTCGTCTAGGGTGGGCTACGATCTGGCTCCAGTGGGCCACAGTCAAGTGCCCAGTGTGGGCCGTGGACCTTAGTCTAGGGTGGGCTATGATCTGGGTCCAGTGGGCCACAGTCCAGTGTCCAGTGGCTGAGGAATTATTTTCACCTACTGGTTCCCTTGGCTCCAGTTTTATTTCTCTCAGTATGTTCTGCTTTTTTGCTCATGCAATCATCTGTCTGTAGCCTCTTGCCAAGTACTCCCCAAACCACAGTCTCAGGGATATAATGTTTATGGAACACCTGTGATTCACCCTTAAGGACTTTGTTTCTTGTTTTACTGTGATTTTCCATTCCTTTTGAATGTTTTTAATTGCAACTTACAACAAGTTAGGAGTCCTTTGTTCTATAATTCTTAGCCATAGCAAATGCCTACTTAGGACTGATTTTTCTTCTATGCCTTCACAGTTATTTTAAACATAACATACTCTCTGGATAGGCTTTGTCAGTACAGTCATTTTAATAAAGTGTCAAGGTGACCAAGAGAAGGAAATATATTTAACTTTTCAAATACCACAGTTAGGCAGTTAAATCCAGTGACCATGAGGAAATGTGAGAGAAAAATGCTTAAAATCTAGTCTTGTGGTGTACTGAGATATTGCATGTCAGTTTGCCTGTTCCATTGGATTTGTAATCTAGAAGGCCTTGATGCTAACTTAATACAAACAAGATAAAATATTGTTATGAGTGGGTGATGACCATATGTTGGATTTATTCAATGATAGTTTTTTATTTTCTTTTAAAAGCATATCTCAGAATTACTAGTGGTGATTGTTTAGAGGCTTAAAACACACAAATTAACTGATATGGAGAACATTTAATCCTTTTTCTCTAAGGACTTATATTTTAGATTCAACTAGTCTAAGATGAATCCCTACCTCATCATAGAATGTGCTTATATATATCATGCTTTTAATTAATCACTCAATTAGGGTTTTCCCCCTCAGGGTAGAAATATGCATGAGATGAGAGAGAGGGGAAGCATAGTTTTGTTACTAAGAGAATGGAGAATTGTGGGGAGATTTGTGCACACAAGCAAATATTCTGATAAAGGCTTTTATGGGTCGATACAACTTGGAGGTAGCTAATAGGAGAACTGTTTGCATTGTGATGTATTAATGTTATCTTCTAAACAGAGAAAGCAATAATCCAAAGCAAAGGGGAAGAATGAAGGTGGCACTTCATTTTTCATGACAAATTTCCACGGTGTTGGATGTGTGTAGAATAGAAGATGTATGTTGAAAAGTGAGCATTATATTAAGTGGAAAGTTGGGTTGTGTTGACCTTACAACAACTCTGTGGAGAGGTAGCATTATTCATGTTTTGCAAATAAACATGGTGCTGAGACAGCTTGCCAAGGCAAGTCGCAAGAGAAGTAGCAGAGTGTACATTCTGAACTGAAATTCAATGTCTGTCTCATTGCCACACAAAGAAGACTTGCTGAATTTGGAGGTCTTTTCTGTTTTTATTTATATGAAGGTGAGAAAGTATTGAATTATATTTACTTAATGGCAAGGAACTTTGGAGAATTGAGTTACAAAGATTTTATTAGGAAAATTAATAATCATTTTTGTCCTTATAGCAGAAGATAAGTTCTTGCCAACCCACAAAGTAACGTGTTTGCAGATGGAATTGAGGATGTGTTTTTGTCACATATATAGGAAATTTTAGTTCAATCCTTTTTCCATGTCTAGAATCTAGGAGATGAGATAAAATACCCAAGGAAACAGACCTAAGGGGTGGGAGAGACCAGAAGAAGCCATTGCAGACAAAGTTGTCAAAAGCATGTCACAATTTCTCCTTCTACAGTATCATTCAACACTCCTGAGTGATTTCATGGTTTAGAGTGACACACAGCTACAGAAATGCAGACAATTTAGTTTAGAAAATTTCAAACTAGACCAACTTTATGCCATGTATTATGTTTTCCTGTGTGACATCAAGGGAAAACAATCACTCAAGAAAAAAGATTTCTAACTTGGAGTCCATTCTCTAAGTAACGCTAACATTTACTTAGCTGAAGCTTAAATATAAAACATTTTTAATGCAAACTCTAGAGCTTTCTATATTGTTGAAGGAGTCCAACAAATTATGAAAACAAGGAAGCATTTGAAATATGACATTCTGCCCTGAGCACCCGCCTCTTCGAATGTATATGTCTTTTATCTTGTTGTATTAGATTCTCCAAAATTGATCCTAAATAAGCAATGAGAGACATTTTACATTAATATTTTCAAAAGTTTATTTTTCTTCACAAATGATTTTCAAAATGTAACACTTATTTCATCATATCACTAAAACAATAGTGTTAACATTATGCTTTACAATATATGTTAAAAGCTGTAATCAGTATGTTATATGTGAATTTTAAATACTATATTTTATTTATAGTAAAATTAACCCAGAACCACATTATCTCATGTGATTAAAAAGAACTCCTGTCTTTAGGACTGGAAGGATGGATCAGTTTGAAAAGTGCCTGTCACTCAAATTTGAGGACCTGAGCTCAGATCTCCAGGACTCATTTATTGCCAAGTGTGGTAGCACACAGATCTAATCCCAAAACTGCTATAGCAAAATGGGAGGAAGAGACAGAAGAATGACCAGAGGATCATGGGCCAGGTATCTGTGAATACACAGCAATAAATAGACATTCTGTCTCAAACAAAGTAAGGATTCACAACGAAGGTTATCCTCCGATCTAACACACACATAATAAATACATGTGCACCTGTGTGCACACACATACACCTCTCTCTCTCTCTCTCTCTCTCTCTCTCACACACACACACACACACACACACA